CTAATCCGTTCTAATACGTGACGTCAACAAAACGAACAATGATAGTGTATATTTTCATCACTGACTGATCATCCTGAGGAAGGGGGCATACTAATTATTACGCCTGTGTTTTCGAAGGTTCAGTGTCCGTGACATTGATTTTGTTCCTGATAACCGAACGTTCGAGAGTAATCAGCCTAGCTACTTTCTTTACAAGTGCACTGATATGTATTTAAACCTCTTTTTACGCAATTGCTCCTTTTTTGGTGAATACTTTCCGTACGTTTATGGTAACGGTCTTTAAGGCGCCTTGCCTGTTTGTTGAACGTATGAAACTGGGATGAATAAAATAACAAAGCCTTGTTACTGAAAAATATCCCGAGAAATTTAAATAGCTTTTCCTTTCATGGGAGATCCGATCCGACTGCATAAAAATCGAATGGTACGTGCAGACGGATGGCCCCTTAATGTCACTTCTTACGCTGCTAGACGTGAAAATAAATCAATCTCAGTTTTGTTGTGACTATCATATCTTTACAGCTTAGTATAAATTACGGATGCGATCGTAGTGACGGAACGTACCTAGTGTCCATTGATCTCGAATTCGATTATTGGGAAAACCAGTCTATATTAAACTAAACAGATTCCTGGCCGGGTTTTTAGAGAATGTCAAGTGGAAAGTGTCAAACCGCTGAACAGTCAAACTTTCATAGAGACCACACAGAATCGATGCATTTCGCTGGCAAAATATGCAACGAAGCACTTTTAAGATAAACATGGTGATTAAATACATACCGTTGTTCGTTATCTGAAAAAAAGTTCCTAAGTGATCTTTTTAGGTCCTTCTGCAAATTTGAGTTGACTTTTCACGTTTCACGGACTGCCAGTCCTGATCAGTTCAGAGCCACGCAATAAACATTGTGAAGCTTTACAGAAAAAGTGAAATCAAAAGCTGAAGTATTATGCAAATGTAAAACACACCCGGGGCAAGTTGATGAGGGGTAACCAATTCAAAAGGATCAGCAACCGCGACAGTGACGATAGTGACAGGTAGCGCGCGGCAACTCTGATTGGTTCGCTTAGTGAATTTGTATTTCAATGGTTGCAAAATTGTGCATGGCTCGTGCGAGAGTGAAAGATAGGTTTTACTCTTCTCTCTGAACAGGCTATCAGTCGTGGATATGTGGTTGATATGGACGTTTGTCAGCTGGGTTTGTTAAAGAAGGAATTATCGGTCTTAAGTGAAATGTAGTAGACAGCTCAGCTACGCTAAGTTATCCCTTGGGCATGCAAATGCCTATAGTATCCCACTTTCAAATCTATTACCTACTGACCTGAGGCATATATGAGTGCCTAGTCTCCCACTGGTTAAGCAAAAATGTCTGGATATTTTTTATGACATTTGTTAAAACCCGGAAGGTGACTCCCATGTGTAACGCGCGCAACTTCGTTTCCGGGTTCTCTCTTGTTTCCTCCCTCGTCGCCGAGTTGAGAGACCCTGGTCAGACCTGGTCATGTGGCCTCCTTTCCAATTTAAAACTGCAAGGGCCGGGTCTGTCCTCGACCACAATTTGTCGACGGGATAACTACACACTATTTAGGGGAGAGTAAAATTGCCGAGTGGTATTTTCAAGATGGTCCCTTTCTTAGCTGTGATCAGACGGGGATCCGTTCGTCCATGTTGTGGCAGTCGTGTCGCCAAGTCATTTCTTAGACTTTTAATCGTACTCGGAGACGATATCTCAATACATCTTTTATTTAAATCTTTGGCTTATTTTACTTTTAAAATGGGCTTGGCTAATCTGAATCTTTTCACGGAGAACGAAGCTAAGCTTTTTTAGCCCGACACATTAAGAGTGGAAAATCTCCCCGTACAGCGTCTGACAATTCCTTTCGATCATGGCCCATTAGTAATCAAATATCGGATTTTGTCTTCTTAGGGATGTTTTGACAAGGAACAGTTCTCTGTTCCAATTAACCAAGTAGATACATATAGTTTTGTTTATATCATTCTACTTTAGGAAGAAAATTAACATCCTTGTCTCCTCCAAGCATTTCGTCTCTTTGACTCTTACAATGAGATGAAGAATATGAGTTCGCCGAGACCAAGAGAGAATCTAAACAGGTCGGATGGAACCAAGTGTCTTGGAAAACTTTTAATTTAAAAAAAGGGGAAAAAAAGAAATTACGATAATTCGTCTTGAGCTAGCTGTTTCAGGGTCTCAAGTAGTTCTGGCCTTTATCAGTCGAAGCTGTACACTCACTCTAGGTGTCTGAAATGATTATGGCCCCCCGCCCCCCTCCCCAGGGGAGGGAGCGGTGCCCAGCACATTTCAGAGGTTTATGGTATTTTTTTCTTTTATTTCTTTGTTTCTCTCTTTCTTTCTCCCTTGCTTTCTTTCCTTTTTTTTTTTTTGAAATGGGCTATTATTACTTAAAGTTACTATACGGAAGACCACGAATAGATCTCACACAGCAAGTAATTTTCACCCGGTCACTCTAGATCGCTAATTACAATGATGTATCGTCATCCTCCATCTTATCATCATCAACGTCATCATGACTATTACCGTATTTATGTCACCATATTCGTAGTTGTACAATTCTGCCCTTAGCGTGAACTTTTACTTTAAACCAGCGGAAAATACACCCTTAATTAGTAATTTGTAATTTACAAGTAACGTAATGTACCGAAATGCATCCAACCTCTTTTTTTTTTTAAGACTGGTAGAATACAACTATAGAATAGATTAGCAGTAATCGTAGATTATAGTGCGTCGCCTTAGGGCCTCAGGCACCAGATTTGTGACAGCAGCAATATGATAGAGTATGCCGTTTGGACATCAGGCATCGCAAAAGCTCCAGGAATAGTGAGCAGTTCCAGGAGACACTTTATTATAAAAGCTCTCCATCTCTCTTTTAACAAACGGGCGTAGGCCATTACAGAAAACGTTTATTAGGCCATGGGCGAAAGAAATCCAGTTTCTGTACTCTGGTGTAGTGTGTTGTGCCATCTGAAGAGCGGCTGTAGAGAAACCTGTTACCTCCGCCACTAAGAACGGTACAGGTTGTATAACTCCATCGACCTTCACATAAAACAAAATTGTCTTAGAAAATCTACAGTGATTACAGGTCTTACAGGGCTGCCTGAAAGGTTACAGCTAAAGCCCGAATCTTACTGTGTGTGACCACTTGTCAGCAGACGGCAACACCCATCCAAAATACTAAAATCGATCAGTTTTCTCTGTCAAAGCACTCAAGGAACCTATCGTGTACGACTATCTCCGCTTTCTTCTCCAGAGCCTCCTTTTTCTCTTAGGCTGAGGGGCCTTCCTACGTGGATCAGGAAGCCTCCGATTAACGTTAGCCTGTAAACACAAACACATCTCCTACATGGTGTCGCTCCGAACTAAACGACAGCTGGAATTACGTCTGTGTTGCGCTCAGGTAAGGTAAGATTGATATTGAAAGGCTCTCCTGTTCTCTGCGTCAGTTCAACGATAGTTATTATTTGCAAACGTTTGTCTCTATAAAATATGACAAGATATCACAGTGGTTTATCAGATTGGGAATTTTAATATTTTCCATTAGAAACAATCCTCTCAGCGGAGCTTCCGCGCACGAAGTGCCCACAGCGAGGCCAAGAAAGCTAAGAAAACAGTGGGCAAAAATACGGATATGGCAAAACAATCTTACCCGGCCATTACTCTAACATTTAACCTACCGATTGTTGTGACGTCAGCGTACGCCCACCAGTCCGTACAGACTATGAGGACTCCGGAGTGGTTAGCCAAAAAGTCACAAAAAAGTAACACATCACACCAAGAGTTACAGCTGTTTCGGAAAACTCCAGAACCAGGACTTCACAGTTAAAAAGGAAGAGTTTCTGTGCTCTTTATCACACTTGAAAAAAATTTTCTGTTATACCGCATCACTGCAACGCTATTTATAAACTTTTAACAGAATTCAATATTTGTGACACAGAGAATTCACTTTTTTTTTTACGTAATTATCCTTTGCAAAACGAAAAATCACGAAACCATGACATGATCCAAATGTCTATCAATAATTTAAATGTTCGATATAGCCTGTTCAGTTCCCTACAAGAAATGTTTCCACACGATAGAAAAATCCGTCCACATGTTTGCCGTGTTTGTTTTTTTCAGGTTTTAAGGAAAACACCTGTGAGAATTATTACACACGACTTAAATTTTTGACTTGAACTGGAGGAAAAATTTCTAGCACATTCTTCCTTAATGGTCGAATGTTTTCATCGACATGATTATCATACCATGTCTGCACTTTTCAAAATCCGCTAACTTTTATGTTACATACGACCAGAAGAGTATTTTGCGAGTTCAAGGTCAAAAATAAATTTCTTCATTTGCCAAGTGACTCACAGTTATGGGAACCTATTTGTCCGTAGAATAAGTAAATTGTATATGTCTAATATTAATCCTCGTATCAGTAAACCTACATTTTGCAAATGAGAGTCCACATTCAGCCAATTCACTCTGTGTTCATTGTTGAAGAGCAAATTAAAAACTTTAACTGCTACAATTTACTTTAACCGGCTAATAACGCCGCAAAAATAGTTAAGACTATCGCAACGCTTGAATCACGTGATACATCCATGCAGGCAAAGTTGAGGCAGTAGTTAAACGTACCTTTTATCGAAGTTTCTTGCCAGTGTATGATCGCTCTACAGATTTCAGAAGTGACGGACCTGTAACACTGAGCTAGGCAACTCAGTCAGTGGCTTCCTTTTTATCTTCTGAGCTACTTTGTAAGGCAAGATTTGAGACGTTAAACCAAAAGACGGAAGTCGTATGCAAATGAACAACACCTCTCCTTAATATCTAACATGATCATATGAGGGGAAATGGATGCTAAAACTGTAAATTAAGCACTTTTTTGTGCCTAGTGATTGAGCTTTCCACAGGTGGATCAACCTTTTTTTTTTACAGTTTGTACAATATTTCGAGCAACTTTTTCGAAATTTTACAAGGAACGTCTTCATTCTGGGCGATATCTTTATCCTGATATTAAATACTGGTCCCGTGACCACCCGTTTTAGCGGTTTACATTGGCAAAAAACCTTGTTTCCAGAACATTACATTATTTATGTAGTTTTGGACGGATAATTGTAGCGAAATTTATTTCGAAAATTTCACGCAATATTCTAACGAAACGCTTTCGGCCAATCGACGGGATGAAAAAGAGTTATAAACTATGGGTAAACAACTGATTCAAAACCTCTTCAAGTTGAACCCTATATTTCAAGTGGTGAGGATACTGTTCACTGTACCCTTGCTTCTCAGTTCAAAAATCATATTGCAAAGCATCCTTAAAAGTCTTAAAATCATCCTGTAAATATGCAAAACAAAGTATACAATCAACTTCGCAACTAAATGGAAAGAGAAGTAGTATGACCATAAGACTTGAACAATGTGAGAGAGAATCATCATTTAAAACAGAAAACGTCTGCATAATTGCTAACATTGTGAACTGTAAAATATAGCATTATTGAGTTTTGAGCCTCAAAGGCAATTATCAGTTATTTTTAAGACCCTGAGTATTGGCCTGGTCCCGGTAATCGAGCCCACGACCTCCCGCTCTTCAGTCAAGCGCTCTGTCGAATGAGCTACGATAGTCCTGCCTCGGTCAAAAATAAAGTAGCTTAAAGTGGCTCTGACCCTCATCGCATAACTTGTTTAAAACTTGGCAAATTATTTTTATGCGGCCTGTTTTACTTAAAAGAAGAAAATATGATGGTTACCGAACTTGCCTTGCAATTGTAAGCCTTTAAAACTAAAATTAAATCTAAGTTACTGTTGTGACATACTCATCCTTTCGGGCCATTTATTAATGACTAGACTGGCAAAAAAGAGTGCTGGAAAAATGTTTGAAACCGACGTGAGCCACTGGGGAACTCCTTTTCGCAAATTTCGATTAAGTCAGTTGCTAGATTTCACTGTCACTCCGTCAAAAATCAAAACCGTTCAATAGATAAAGTCCAGAATCTGGGAAATAAAAGGAGGTAAATTTGCAAAGAATTCGCCAAAATTCAAGCCAGTGCAATCCGTTTCCATATGCGAGATTCGAGTTAATGACTCACCCAAATTTACAGACCTTTGTATGGAGACGCCATGTTGGTGCCTATCTGGATGGGCACCAACAAAGCGGCTGGAAGCCAACAGAAATATCTGTCACTAAGTATCGTTAGGGACATTACCAACGAGTGTATTAATCTCTTAAGGAACTCAAACATTAAATTAATACTTCTTCTCATACAATGACTGTTCAGATGGCAAAATCCTCCAAAAATAAGTCACTTTTTTTTAACCTACACGACAGCGCTCTTGACCAGCATGTAAATGCTGCATCACGCAGAAGCTTAGAAATTCAACCGCATTGTGTCACTTTTAGCTGCTCTACCACTTCAAAGGCGGCGAAGTAAGGGGGAGCAGGGGAGCCGTAACCTCCTCCGCCCCGCCGAGCAAAAATTTATTGGGGGGCAGAGTCCCCCCCCCCCCCCCCTTTTTTTTTTTCGAAAACACTTTTCCAGTTTTTTTTTCAAAACTTTGGAAAACGGGGCCATTTAAGGGGACCTTTTTTTCCCCCAGCACAAACCAAGCCTTCTCAAAAAAAACAACACACACGAGGCCCCGCGCACAACACTGTCTCTTAGTATGTTCAAAGTGTGAAATCTGCAGCCCGCAGAAGCTTAGGAAATCACCCGCGTTGTGGCACTTTTTGCTGCCCCACCACTTCCAAGGCGGCGAAGTAAGGGGGAGGAGGGGAGCCGAAACCTCCCCCGCCCCGCCGAGCAAAAATTTTTTGGGGGGCAGAGTCCCCCCCCCCCCCCCATATTTTGGTTCCGAAAACACTTTTACGGATTTATTTGACAATAGCTGTGACATCGGCGACTTCAGAGTGCACATTTTCTACCCTCAGACGACTCAAGGCTTACCTAAGAAGCACCATCAGGCAGGACCGCGTGTACAACTGTCTACTGATGTATTGTCACAAATCGATTACGGACACACTAGGCACTGTGAAGATTGGAAAGAGGTTTGCTTGTGCCAACTAAAAACGCCATTAGTATTTTGGAAAATCTGAGTAGGGGTATGCGCATGACTGAGTGGAAGATGAGCCCTCCACGTTTCAAAACGCTCCGCCGGCTCTCCACATCATAAACTCAGGAGGACAGTTAATTCTTCGGTTTCGAATTTTAAAGACGTCGTGAGAAAACCAGCAATAAGAGACCTTTACTTCAGTCGAAGACAGAACACTTTTACGAAGGCGAGGGAGCGTTTCGACGTTGTAGATATATAGGGAAGTAGTGATGCCATTAGTTCATGAGCATAAGAAAGAACGGAGCCTCAGTATCTTAAACTGAAATGGCTGTCTGAGTCAGTTATTTCGTTAAAAATTGGTAATGGTTGTCCATAACCCCACTTCCTTTCACGCTATAGCCCAGGTAACGGTGAAAAATACTAGGCAAACTTCATTCTTTGCCGCACTTGACGGCACACCTCTTTCTTTGCTGACGATCTTGAATCAAACCTTAGGGAAGGAAGAGCGAGGATATTGGTCAAATTACAAGCACGGATTCGGATCAGTCAAATGCTTCTGGAACTCGTTTCCAGAGGCTCTCCCGTACGAAATGGCTGGTAAATATTCTGCTGCTTCTGGGACCGACAATCTTTGAACCCTCTCAGCCGATATCTTCAACGCATTTGATTACAGAAACTACATCTGTACATTCTAATGACAAAAATCACTTCAGAAAAACTCCGAAGCATAAAAGTAGATGAGTCAGGAGTCCTTTTATTTGGATAGAATGTATTTCATTATTTGCGTGATAAAGCCTTGCTTCAATAGCTGACTTAATAACCTGATAACAGTAAACAATTCAAGTAAAGAAAAAACCTGATGGTAAAGCGTATAATACAGAAAGAAACGTAGAAATGATCGTAGAGTTCCCTTAAATCACTAGTCGATTGTTATTTCAGTCAACAATCATCCTCTTCTTCACACTCTAAAGGCAATTGGATCAATGCCACCAGGCTAGAACTCTTTGAACCACATTGCTAACTGGCTAGGATTATACCACATTTTATTACGATCCATAAGTTTCCGAATTTTGTCGGGGTAAAGATGAACATAAGTACGTGGCTCTTTTCCTATGTGTAGAGTCTTCAGATAATCATAACGACGAAAGAAACCCATTGAGCGCCTTAGAAAAAATTCCAGGGGCCACTCGGTGGGATTACTTCCAATAAAGGAAGCCTGTCTAAATATTTTCACTGGCCCGTTGAAAAAACCAGAACGACTGAAAAGCTCGTTGTCTCTAAGTCTGAATTCAGAAGGTTGTTGACCACTTTTCCTAAACGATATGTAGTTTTCAAAAATATACTCTATGCTATCACAAATTTGATTAAGGTAATTGTCAACAGGTGGGTTTTTCTCAAACCGACGAATACTGAATGTAACCGATCTTTCATCCAAATGATAAACTGGTTTAAATCTAGAAGATAAAGACTTGAAACAAGCAAATGTTCGGAAGACCTCCGTATGTCGCATCTTCATTAAGCTGAGAAATTCCTTTTGAATCCAGTTTCTTTGTACCTTGCTAAAGACCTCCCAGTTCTTGAGTTTCGCGATATTTTTCGGATAGGCTTGTCTAGGAAATAAAATTTTCGACATGTATTGGCGAAATTGTTTTAGATGCAACGAACATCGTCCCCAGTCTTTGCGAAAGTATTCTTCTTCCCGCGAACATTGTCTCTTACCCGTATTGGAGTTCGGCTGGACTTCCTCTGATTCTCTCATTAAACTTTTCACTGATGAAATATTGATATCTTCCCAAAGCCGAATAACAGGCCAGTAATAAACGTTTTCACGAGTTAAATCAATTTGAGGATGGAAGAAGCAACGAAATGATTTTTTTTCTTTCTTTTCATAGGACGTCAAAAGCGACGTTATGAAGTGTACTATGTCAGGCCTCAAATTTATTGTAAACTCGTTCGGAATCCAGCCGTATACGCCGTTATATATTATATTATGCTCAACATTCTTTCTGGGATATCGCATTTTACCGCCATGCCTTTTGATTATTTGGATCACTTGTTCCCAAGGATTTTCAAGGCCATCTTGTACACTCTCTTCGAAGAGTTTTGCTAGATACATTGGTGTTATCCCATCTGCGTTGGCACAATCAGGGTCCAATTGGTGCAAATCACTTTCGCTAAATATCGCTTCTATAAACTTCACTAGTCCACGAGAGGCTGCCATATGATATAACGTCAAGTGTGATTTAGTGGAATCGCATCTGATCTTGTATCCACGATTTTTTACTGCGTGATGCAGAAGCTCGATAGCTGCTTGTTCGGCCTGTATCAAATGAATATAATCTCCATTCACCCGAACGTATCCATGACGCTCCCACAATCGTCTCCTCCCTGCATGAAGAACAGCCAGTGTTAGCGCGTCGTGTCCATGTGGACTCAAAATAGAATCATCTGCACCATTTGCAAGAAGATAGCGAATTGCTACTAGATTAGCTCCTTGTGCTGCTCTATGCAATGGTGTAAATCCCTCAGCATCAAAACAGGTGCTTATTATTTCTTCTTTCTCAGGGTGACTCTCAATTGCAATAACAAGGGGTCCCCTTTTAACTTTACACAGCGGGTCAGCGGGTTCACTGCATCTGTCTAAGTAGAATAAGTTGTTGTCTTCCCAGAATGGGCGGATATAACTCAACAGATGAAATAAGGAATAATTGAAAGGCTTCCCACATTCAATGGTAACAGGGTCAGTAAACTCGCGGAGAAGTACACCAGAAAATTCTTCGCCGTTGTGAAGGTACGTAACAAGTGGTGTTCGTCCAAGGCTGTCTTTACAAGTTAAATTGGCGCCCTTTAGAAGCAAAAGCTGGGCAATGTGAAACTGTTTCTTTACGATTGCGGTGTGAAGCATGCTTCCACTTGAGCTTGTGCACTTCCCACTCGAGGCACCATGAGATAGGAGGAGAAAAATGACCATCACGTGACCATGTAAATGTTCGCGCATGTCTTCTATCTTAGTTACCCGAAAAGAAGGGAATTGTTCTGATTCGACTGGTGCATTCTCAAAGGCGCCCTCCAGTGGCGTCTTGCCATTTTTGTCCTTCATTTCCATCGACGCATTCATTTGGAGAAGAACTTTAACAGCGTCAGCTAAACCGTAGTGTGCTGCAATGTGCAGTGGCGTCTGTCCGTCAACATCAACGACATCAATGTTGGAACCCCCATGCAATAACTTAACAAGGGTATCTAACCAATGTAAATCATCTACACTCGTATACTGATTATCATAAACAAAAAATCTAGGCAAATGACCCTTTCTGGGAGCCATTAGGTCAACAAAACTTCTAAATGTGAAGTTATGAATTGAGTAGTGTGGCGCTGTCAGGCCATAATTATCAACTGCTGTAAGGCTTGCCTTTTTGTAAAGCAAATAATCAATTATCCCGACCACTCCACAAGCTGCAGCGCTATGAAGAGGGGTAGATCCATTTGATGTTTTGACATTGATGTTTCCCTCGATTAAGTTAGCATGATTAGGACAAGCAGCCACATGAATCGGTGTTGCTCCAGTGCAGTCCCGGTCGTCAAGCTGAGCACCTTTTCTGATGAGCAATCTTGCCACTTCCAGGTGGCCATACAGTGCTGCAAGGTGGAGAGGAGTATAACCACAATGACAGACGTCTGCACTGTATTCAGCTAATTCCTCAAAACTAAGCAGCGTCTGGTTGACTTCTTGCCGATGTTTACACTTGTATTTTACCATCTGAGGATGTTTATCTAGCAAAATATTGACAATTATTGAGTCATTTTTTCGAACGGCTTCATGAAGTGGAGTTCTCCCCGTATAATCATAACAATTCAGAGCATTATGTTTTTCAGAAAGAAGACGAGTAACAACCTTGTCGTGGCCTGAAACAACTGCTGCATGAAGTGCAGAATGGCAGAAAATTAAACGACTGTCGTCGTACAATTTCTTTGTTTCATCTGGCCATTTTTTCTCATAATCAATGCAAATCTTGGTAACATTATTATCCATAATCCATATATGGGAACAATTATCCTTGAAAGGAGGCCTAAGAACGATTGTAGTGCTTGGGAACCGCTCTTTTGAGTTCAACCAGCTAAAAAAGCCATCACATCTCAGACATTCATCTTTGACACCAATTTCCAACAGGAAATTAACTACATCCATTCTGTTATTTCCAGCAGCATGGTGGAGAGCTGTTTGATCAGCAACTGCACCTGCCTCATACAAGGTTTTGACAACATTAAGATGTCCATTTTCAGCCGCTGTTTGCATGGCAGTCAGATGCACACCATTCAAGATAGAAATGCGAGCATTTTTCTCAATAAGGAAACGAACAACTCTTTCATGCCCTCCTTTGGCAGCAGCGTGAAGCATTGAGGCGCCAAAGAATTTCGACTTGATTTGGTAGACAGGCATGTCTATTCTTTGATACGCCACTGACAAATATGAATCCTTGTTGGCTTCTTTTAGGGTGGTTAAGTCTCTAAGTATCTTGGCTTTATAGAATGCAACCATCCCCTTTGTTTTTCGGTTGACTTTGGCTCCCTTGCCGATCAACAAAGCAACATTGTCTACAAGTCCGTGTTCTGCAGCCAGAAAAGCAGGTGTAATTCCACGGTTGTCAACACAATCAATGCAGGTAAAATGCGTCAAGAGAAGCTCTAACGCATCTCTGTTGTCTATTGTCGCGGCAAGATGAAGTAGAGTTCTTTTGCTTTGGGGATCTGATGAATTGACTATCTGTGAAGGAAGACTGCGAAATTCTTGAACATAAGCCTCTTTCCAATCACCTAAGGCAATATGTTGCGCTAACTTGAGAATGTATTTCGACAGCTTGCTTTTTTTCCCTTTTCTAATCAGATTCAAATAGAAATCGCAGAATGTTTTGTGTCCTTTCTTTTTACTCACAAAGTATTTCTCGTTCTCTTCACTGGTGAGCCACTCAGTTAGCGACAAGTGATACAGTGTTACTGTATTGTCCTTTCCATATTTCAGAAAGTGTCCAAGCTCTCTTAGTCTATTTTTGAAATCGTTTTCTTCTTCTAGGTTATTCTCTCTCATTTTAAGTAATTCAAGGATCTGTTTTTGTGTCAGTGGATCAGATGTCGAGACTAGCAACTCAAAAACATGCCGGGCATACTTAAAGCTCCCTTTTCTCGGATATAGCCTCTCGAAGTAACTCTGGTACAGATCTCCCAGAGTCGTGGGCAAGACAAAAGCGTTACTTAAGTTGGGTCTTGAAAGTTCCCAATAGTCAAGCAACTCCTTGACGAAAAGAAAATTTCCTTGACTTATATTTAGTACATCTCCTGCCAATTTCGCGATACTTTTCACACTATCATCTCCAAACCACGACGTTATACGGCGCAATAAAGGCCCTTCTTGGAAAAGTCTTTTTGTCACGTAGAATTCGAGATCTTTAAGGTTTCTCGGGTCTTCAGAGTCAATCGTTATCCGTTTTATTCTACTTGAATGGAGAGAAACATCAGATTCATTTCGCGAAGTCAAAACGAGCTTAAACCAAGGTGGAAGCCGGTAAATCTTGTTCTTCAGCAGATAGACAATGCTGTGACCTGTTTCACCTTGTGTAAGACATTCATCCAAGGCATCTACAACCACAAACCAATTTTCTGTTGGATAATTTTTCAGGTTTCTAAGAGGAGTCACGACAGTCACTTCGAAACAACCTACAGGATCTTGATTCTGGATGCAGTCCTGGGCAAAAGAACGCTGAATGAAGGAAGTATTGGAGACGAGATAACCGTATTCGGGCAGCCTGCGGGCTATCATATCCGCTAAATTTCGAACAAACTTCCCTGCCATTTGTGTGTTTTTGTCAGAGTATTTACATAAGTGGTATCCTATAATATGGGTATGAATCCGAGGGCTGGATGTCCGCGAGCATATCAGATGAGAAGAAAGCGCGGATTTACCGGACCCAGGACTTCCCAATATTTGTACCCCAGCAATGTATTCATCCTTAAATGCATCTTCGATCTCTCTATACAGCCATTGACGGCCGATAAAGTCCTCAGCTCGTGCAGCTTCCAAGTATTCTGACATGTTAAACTCTTTGGTTTCGAGTGGCACTCTATCGTCTTCTGCTGGGCATCCTTTAAGCACGAAGAGAAAGTATAAATCACTTTTCGTGGAGAAGACAGTAAGACAGACTAAGTAAAAGTAACGCCAAAAGAGACACACGTTGCTCGTTACAGTTACACCATACCCCTCCTTCATCAGGAATTAGCTTGCGTAGCGCGGTGCCAACAAGTCGCTGCAGAAACGAGAGGCCAAGCTACAGTAGAGAAGGGCAGAAATTTATATATCCCTCTGCCAAATTTATCTGGCAATCACCGCGTTAGCGGCGTCCCGACTCAGTCTTTCAGTTTCAACTGGCTTTTCGTTCAGAGTTACGTTTCAAAAATAGCAACACAAGCAAAATTTTGTCGTGATGAAATTTATTCACGACAGGAGTTCCCGCGACCTTAACCTACAAATCAAAGAATATAACTTTGAAGATTTGCCCACGTATATTTTATGAATTAAGACTTGTTAGCGCAAAATGGCATTTGTCGTTTTGTGCTCGGAAGACTGCATTTTCTCGTGGAGCCAGCCGATAATAGGGTCCGGAACTGGGGTGTGAAGAGGTTTCTTTTACAGGCCACATTCCTCAGGTCACAATTGCAGGTCATTGATTTACTGATAGACAAATAAACCAAACAGTTTCCCCTCGAAAAACGCCATTTTTTGAAAGGGATTAAGGATAGGAGATAATTCTGATCCTGTATTGTTTGTAGCACGATGACCTGTATTCTAACGTGTCGAAAGGAACCTGCAAAACCACACTATCTCCTAACTGTGGTAAATAATCAAAAGATTTTGCAATAAATCCTTAGCTTATTGCTTACCGTCTTGGTACGATCTGGGATCAAGAAGGGTGACACTGAAACTGCACACCAAAATAATCATCAACAAAGGAGTAAGCAGCCGCTTCATCATTACTCGAGTACACCTGATAAGAGTGATGCAGAAAAACATAGCGCCATTCTTGACATGGTTCGTAAAGAAATTGTCTTTGGTCTTAGTAGTGTCTTCTATATTTTCTAACTTCTTTTCAACGATTTTTAACCGTTCCTCCAATTGTTGTAGATCTTCCCGGTTTTGTGTAGAATCAATTTTCAGTTGTAAGATATCTTTTTCAATCATTTCTTTAAACTGTAGTAGAGTTTGTGCTAGAAAATTGTCTACATCCGTCACAGTTTTTAGTATCTGGATCTCATGTAGGGCTTTCTGGGCGTCCCGATCATGGGCTAACTTAGGATCCTGAAGCAGTGCCTCCATTGCACCAAAGGCGGTGGCCTTTTCAACATCAGTTAACTGTAGCTTGGTCGCGTGCCCAAGCGTAAGGTTTCGAACATCACGGAGATCTTTAATCAAGGCTTGAGAAATGGGACGAAAGTGATCACACCAGTACGTTAGGTTCAAGATCCCCGTGACGTCCATATCCTCTGCACCTGTTATCACGCGACCTCCCACATCAGGGATGAAAAGTTTGGCTATCTCCCAAGGCCCCTGGATTGGATCCATCCACTTGGTGGAATCACTTTGTTTCCAGTTTGGTTCGTTTCTATGGTGATGACCCCGGAGGATATTAGCCCAGGTACAGGTGCTCATGTCATGATACTGGTTTGATTTCCTCTTTTTGACGAAAGTGCAGGTGCATGGGGGTCCAGCTCCGGCTGCTACCGATACATTATTATAAAACTTCACCGTCTCTTTAGCCACACATGGGCGCAGACCATCGCAAAAAACGTCCATCAAGCCATGGGCGAAACAAATCCAGTTTCTGAACTCCGGTGTAGTGGGTTGTGTCATCTTAAGTGCGGATGCAGAGGAACTGGAAAACCCTATTAAAAACATTAAAAGGTTTTTATAACTTCAAAGCTACTCTGAATAAAGGGGACCTGCCAATTTACAGTAATAGTGTTAAACCACCTCTCACAACCAAGACACATCCAAAATACCAAAGATCCTTTCCCCAGTCATGCCCGGTCAGAGTTTCTCGTGAACTCTCATTCGTTCAAAGAATTTTTTTTTAATAATTGTTTTATTTAAATCACACTGTTAAAGTTACAAAGAGGTATACATAACCACATACTAAGGAATTGAAAAAATTTGAAAAAAAAACAAACAAACAAATTAGAGACGAGACGCATGTAACTTACAATTGACATTGACTATATGTAACTACATAGAGTTAATCAATCACAATTTTTCTCATTTAAATTCTATTTGTTTGGCAAAGTCTGAGAGAGTCAGTGCTTTGTTATGAAGTTTACAGGAATAAATGTAAAATCTCATAAATAACAGAGTGTAGTTTAATTTTGCTGTAAGTCGGCTGTTGTTGAGTACATTTTCGGAACGTCCAAAAATAAAGATTCTTTCAATGAAGGAAGTAAGTTGGAATTATTCTTAGAGTTAAACCACCTAAATACACTTTCCCTCAAACGACTGTGTGAATTGGCAGTTGATGAAGGTGTGGTCTACGGAATCCTCTTCGAGGCAAAATAAACAATCACTATCCTGTTTAATTCCAAAACGAAACAATTCTTTTTTGGTGACAACAATCCTATGTAAAAACTTAAATTGAAATTCTCTTAGCTTGTTTTCTTTGCAGATCTTTCTCGCTGATTTGAAGAATGTTTGCCATTCATTTAATTCTGTGTTAAGGGTTTTTTTCCATTTCTCTGGCTCAGTTGGCAGTGGTGTAGGGTTCCGTTCATTTAAAATCCAATAGAACTCTTTAGTTTTAGCTTGTGTAAATTGAGCTCGTGACCATTTAAGAGCCAATGTCGGAAAATATCGAGAATCTCAAATCAGCTCTAAAAATTCGAGTTTTGGCTAATACCACCCAAACAACCCTTTAGGTGAACTATTTCAAGAAATGATATCTAGACTCGACCGCCAGTACTTGAAAGTTGGTAGAATTCAATAACTTTGGGGAGAACACGTTAAATTGTTATCATTATTATTATTATTACCTGGGGGAAGGGGGAACAAGGAAGAACCCCCATCCGGTTCGGATCATTCTGACGTTTCTAAGACACTGGTCACCTACCCCTCCCCTAAGCCAAAATTAACACTCACTTCTCAATTCTTCTTAGGGCAAAATGTTGGCTTAGGGGAGGGGTATGTGGGCAGTTCCCCAGAAACGTATAATGATTGAACCCCTAAAGTAACAAAGAAAAAGACCTCCCCCCCCACCCCCTCTAGGGAGGCACCTTTGGATAGGAATAGTAAAGGCAATCTTAATCTACCTGGAGTTATGAAAACCGTGCAAAGCAAACATTTTGTATTTTTCTCAACTTCCCCTGTCTAATTGCTTGTTTACTGTGTTGTTTGCGTATGTCGTTTTTTGTGTGCTTGTTTTGTGGTTAGGGATTTGTGTAGAAGTGGCATTAGACCGAATTACTTTCTTCCCACCCTCTCCTTTTTTTTTGTCCTTACCCACAATTCTTTCTTTTAACACAAGTGACAGTTACTTGAAATCAGCGCGCGCCTAAAGCTTGTTTCGGTGCCGTTTAGCGCAGTTTAGTTTTATATATTGGTCGCCTTGAGAAAAGTTTCCTGGAGAGCATCATGTAAAGCTCTGAGATGGGACAAAGTTTATTACGATTCGCAGACGCTGCATCGTCCAATATCGTATTATATTTTCGTTTCATTTGGCTAAACGGATCAATCACCCTGATCCGGGCTGAGACAGAAAGGTACGATGTTGTTCGCTTTTCTAAGGTGACCACTAAGTCTTTGGCCTCGGGGATAGGCTCTCAGGAGTCAAATGAATTAGGTGAGAGCAAAATTGGAGGTGAACTTTGACCCGGGCCAAGACTTAGTTTTTTTCTGGTGTAAAACTAAGGCTAAGGACACTTTCGCGGCACTGATAGGACTATCCACAACCACGCATAATCTCCTCACGTTTAACATAAGCGAAATATCATCGAATAACTCGGAAAAACTCAGCCTATTGCCAGATAAACACCTCTGGACTTTTCTCTTACACTCGTCTTATTCAAGTTCCCGGATGTAGAGTCACACGGTCGGCTATGTGATTGCGTGGTTGAACTGCGGTTTCGCGACGCCAAAATATTCTGTGCCAGCTATTAATATTGTTTCGTCGGTGTTTAGCTTAGCTTGTAGCTTGGAAAAGTAACTGTCGGCCCAGGAAAATTGGATCTAGGTCTAGTTTCTGCGGGCTCTAATGGCATTGTACAATAGGCCGGTTTTTGCAGATAAGAAGGTGATAATTTGTGCACTATGTTTCATTCAGTTTGTTGTCTATTCCATGCGGAATCCTGTTGTTTATCGGACCGTGAAAAAAGTAGTGTTTTGCTAACTATTTAAGTTGTTATGTAAGCCTTATAACCAAGCACTCTTTCGCTGCAGTTCACTCAACTTAAAAATTTCTAGACTGAAATGACACCGGTTTGCATAAAACATTTACATTTATACTGAACACAGATGCTGAAAGTAACCCAGCGTGAAAATATCCCGATTCACTCATTTGTTGCTTGTGACAATCAAGAGGGCACAGTTGTTCGAAAGGTGGATAACGTTATCCACTGGTTAAATCTCTATCCAATCTTTATCCAGTGGGCAACGCAATTGTTCCCCCTAATAATTATCCACTGGATAGCTTTAACCGTTGGATAACCCTATCCCGTGTTTGAACGACTGAGGCAAGATTATTTCAATACTTGCTATGTAGGTCAAACATTTTTGGGCTCGGATTTCAACACTAATGGGTTGTCGACGTTAATCGCAATAACGTTTTGTTAGCAAGGGCCCAAGGCATCCACGCAATACATATCGATCAGTCGGTGCTATCTACACTATCTATTAGTCCTAAACTTTGCTTCCAAAAACTCGTATTCGGCGATTACGGCCGCTGAACAGAGAAGGAGTGTTATAAACATTCAGTCACTGTCAAGCTATCCAGGAGCTAGAGACGACTTCGCTCAGTCTAAACTGTCTCACTGTACGCAAGAAAAAGTTTAACAGAAAGCTTAGTAATACATACTGTTGGTTATCGGAGCGTGGAAAAAGATCCTCCTGCACTTAAATGTTCATGAATGATAACAAGTACACAAGAATACCGCCGTGAATGTGATGGTTGTGCAAAGCAACTGATAGGGCAAAGGCGGAAGTAATAGACAAATAAGGAAAAGACGCCGCCTCAGTCCCCTTGGAGTGGTAAAGAGGGATACTGGAAACTTTGACTTGACTATGCGTGTGTTACCGGTAACTTAACCCTTTAAGCCCTAAGGGTGATCAACATCAAATTTCTCCCCGTAATATCAATGCTTTGTAAAACAGAATGGTTATGAGTATAAGGGACATGATCACACAAGATGAATTTTCTTGATATTTTGTCACCTTCTCTTCACTACTTTTGTACGAAATGAATAGGGACAACAAATAAGAATTCAACTTTTGATCTTAGGGTTTAAAGGGTTAAGTTCAAAGTAGCTTGCTTTTTCTATCAACTCGCATGTCTTTCCGTTGCAAAATCTTCAGTTGAGAGGTTTTACTTTACCACTAGAGATTGTATTTTCACCGTTTTACACCATCGTAAAATGCGCTCTTCGTTCATAACTTTCATAGCCTCATTACCTTAGATAATGCCGAGGTTTAGTTGGAAGAATATTAACTCCTCACGATTTCAAGGCCTCTAAACACATAATTTAGCCGTTCTTTCGATCTCCGTCGAATGCAAATTAATTGGCCTTAATTCCTTTCTTTTAATTAAGATATAACAGCCCACAATTCTTTTCAATATAAAAAAAACCCTACTTTCCCCTACTTTGAAGTTTTCAACAACATTCGATCACGATGATGTCATGAAGGTTTTTGCGAGAGAAATAGCGAGCTTTTCGCGTTTCGTTAGCGAAGAGAGAGGACCGAGATTTTTTTTTCTTCTGAGTAAGCAGGCCTGGTTCTGACTTGGAACTTCACATGTGATGACAAACCCAGAGTTGATGAGTAAAAATCGATTAGTTTTGTTTCCGATCATTAGGTTCATCCAGAAGCCAATCGGTTCATGTTTCGTCAAATGAGAAGGGCCGTCATGGCATGACGTCATGTCAGCCATAATGGTGTTCCAAACCAGTCTTGTGGGAGTTTCACCTTACGTAAAAAAAATTCTTTTGTTCTGATAAATTTACATAACTGCTGGTCACATGAGTAAAAAGACTCTATTTTCTGCGATCTGCGACTTTCAATTTCCATAATGCAATTTTTTGCCCACAACATTTTTGCGTAAGTGTTATTTTAGTTTCTCAAGGGACGATTATTAATCCCAAGAGAAATTGAAAACAATAGTTATGTCAAATTTTGTGGGGAAAATCTGCCGTATGGGGAACTCAAAAGTCGCATATAATTTTTTATTCGGTGGTCACTGCGTTCGACTAGAGTAAAAAACCCCCGACTAAGAAGTTGGATTTTAACCCCCCGGCTCTATAAGAACCTGTTTAGCCTAAAATTTGAAACAAGTTCTTATTTTCTAAAATCTAAGCATGAAAAAATTCTGTACACTTGGGCAGGTAACATAAGTCAACATTTAAAATCCTCTTTTGAGACATAGGTGCCTCATCACCCCAACTGCAATGTAATGTCATGCAGATTTTACATGAGGAGTAAGCTGAACCACTAAATACTCTGAGCTATATTGTTTTTTTTTTCTTCAGAAAATTAGAGCCTATTTAAGAACCTAAATAGGCTAAACTTCTGCTAACTACCATTTATTTTCAAGAACCTGTTTAGCCTAACTTGGAAAATTCAGGTTCTTCGTCGATAGGTTTTACTGAGCCCGCACTCATCAACTGACCAAAGGCTGGACTCGGGAAAACAGCGGAAATCTCTCC